TCATAGAATTGAGTTTGAATTGTTAATCCTAGCATCATTAGTTAGTCATTGATCATYYCAARTCAATTKMTTTGSCCAAARCCCATTCTTTTCCATATTTGATCAAGTTCTTGTTTGTTGACTTTATAGTTGACTTTACAGTTGACTTTGCTTTGACTTTTTGTTGACTTTGCATTTTGATTTTGTTTAAACTTGATTATGTTTTGCTTTAGTCTTGTTTAGTTTCTTTTTAGTATTTTAGTCTTCTTAATCTTCTTTTAACATTTGCATTTTTCTTATATCACTTAGTTGCATAATTAAGATTTCGAAAATCATAAAAAAACATCATTGTCTTAGCTTAATAAATTACTTGCATTCTTAGTGTGCTATTCTAATCTCCCTTGGTTCGACCCTATACTATGCTACAACAACTAGAATATGTTGCTAGCTAGGTTTAGGTGAAATATAATTTGACACACATCAGACTTGTGAACTGGTTGGTTATACTTCATCGAAGGAGGTTCGTATTCTATTACCAGGAAAATCTGGGTCATTTATACTTCTCCTTATCACGTTTTTGCGAGATACTTTACTGCACTATGCAGGTTGTTAGTACCCTTCTCTCTTGAGATTGAAGGAAAAATGCTCGTCATTGTCTTTGCTCCATTAAACCTTGGTTGATGGAACACATTTTGCTATGATTACTCCTTTATGGAGGTTGTTTACACCCAATCTTTCACTTTTGTTTTTAGTGATTGTATTGTAAGAAAAATTGTGTTGGATTTTGCTTTGCTAGAAGCTCTTACCCTTATGATCGCAAAGAACATTCTTTTGCGTCAAGTCTCCGACACTTGCAGGTTTATACCTTCGGTGTTAGTAGCAAAGACGTTCATATTCAAAATCGGTTTTGTAGGCGCTTCAACTTTAGACATCCCACATTTTTTTATGGTCTCGGTTGCTCCTTCTCTTGTTAAATTTCTCATGTGTGGAAGTGTTGACAGTGAGCAGAAAAGCATTCTACATGACATAAATTGTTTTTTAGGGTCCTTTATAACTTCTATTTGAGTTGGTGAGTTGGCTCGGTGCATTAGTGATGGTGGCATGGGCGTACATATGGCGTGTGAATTTGACATGCACCGCGGTTAATGCATGTACTAGTCTTTCATCAAAGGTTTATCTTTATCGGGAAGGTGTAATATTTTTTAGGAAGATACCACCACAATTTTTTTTTGAAAAGGTTGCAGATAGCTTTCTAGATGTCAGGACTGTTATTTTAGCATTAACGAATTGAACAATCGAACAAAGTCTTGACTCAATTTTTTTTTTTTTAAATACGCTTATAAATTGATGTCTATAATTGTTTTTGTAAGAAAATATTTTATTAATATACATAAAATTTTATGTACACACTGTAATAATTTTCGAAATTTGCTCAAATACACATCTAGCTCGCACGTACTATAAACCGACCTTGGTCCATGAATGTCTCTTCCTCGAACTTGACAACCTTTCCTTTCTACATCAAAAGTTTGCATGTAATTCTCAAGAAACACCATGTGGTGTTTTTTATATTTTCTTCATATTTGTAGTCGAATGTTACC